GGCGGCGAGGGAGCGGAAAGCACGAACAAACGGGCGGGAGAAACCGGCCAGGCCAAGAAAACGACGCAAGGGAGAGACAGGAGGGGCGGGGGCCAACGGGGAGAGCGGCAACCGGGGGGAAGCCAGGGGCACACCGGCGAGACGAACAGGAAAGCCGAAAAACGCAACACGCGCAGACAGAAAAGAACACGGCGCAAGAGGGACAGACAACGGGGCCAGCCCGAAGGGCAAGAAAAACGAAGCGAAGGGGGGCAAGGGGGGGCGGGGACGGGCGAGAAAGCAGAAGAGCAGCAAAGGAAACAACAACCAAAAGACCAAGAAAGGGCCGCAAAACAGGGGGCAGAAGCCGCAGGAAGGGCGAGGGGCAGGAGGGAAGCCAAAAGGCAGGACGAACCACGCAGAGAAACCAGGCGGGGGGGAAAGGCGGGGGCCACGCAGCACCGGCGGGCAGCCGGAGGGGAGGAGAGCCGCGGGGCAAAGCCACCGGGCGAAAGGACGGAGCGCCAGAAAGGGCAGCAAGCAGAGCAGCAAGGCGAGGAAGAGGAAAGCGAGACGGAAGAGGGAGAGGGGGAGGGCACGACAAGCAACACACAGGCGCCAGGGACCGGCGGGGGGGCACAAGGAGCACGGGAACGGCACACGGACGCAAGCGGGCGCGAAGAGGGCCAAGGGCAAGAAGCGCGGCAACCGGGGGCGGGAGGGCCGGGGCGGCCACGGGAGGGGGGGGGAGGCGGGGCGGGGGGCAAGGGAGAGCCAGGGACAAAGGCGAGGGAGGCGCAAGCCCGCGAAGGGGGGGCAAGCCGGGGGGCAGCGCGGGAGGGAAGAAAGCGGAAAAAGCAGCAAGCAAGGCAGCAAGAGAGGCAGGACGAGAAACAAGAGGCAGAGGGGAACACAAGAGAAGAAGCAAGAGCAGGGGGAAGCGGAGGAAGGAAAAGGAAGGGAAACGGGGCGCCCGGCGGAGGGCCGGCGGAAGGGCAGGGGGGGGGCAAGAAGAGAGGGCGGAGGGGGAGGCCGGGGCCGGGGGGGGAGAGGAAAAGGGCGGGGAAAGGGAGAGGGGAGGAGGGGGAGGCGGGGAGGGGGGAGAGGGGGAAGAGGGCACGGAGGGCGCCGCGGGGGAGGCCGGCCGCGAGGGCAAGAGGAGGGCGGCCACCGGGGGAGGAGGCAAAGGAGACAAGACAGAGCGAACGCCAGCCAGGGGAAAACACAGAAGGGGGCAGCAGGCCAGCAAAAGGGAGGGGCGAGCAAAGGGCCACGGGCGACCTAACAGCACAGGAGCAGCCGGCAGGGGGACAAGAGCACACAAAAGGGCAGCAGAGGAACGGGGAAGAAGAGAAAGGAAGAAGAGCCGGCGGGGGGACGCGAACGGCGCCGGCAGCGGGAACCAGGGCAAAACGAGAGGGAGGAGGGGGAGCAAGCAAAGGGAAGGGAAAGAAAGGGAACCAGAGCGGCACGAGCACAGGGGGGCAACGGCCAGAAGCGAGGAGCACAGGACAAGCAGGCCCGCGAAGGGACCGGGAGCAGAAAAGAGAGGGGCGCGGGGAGACGCAGCGGCGGGGAAAGGAGGAACAGGCAAAACCGGCGGAACAACAAGAGGGAGGAACAGACGCACGAGCAGCAGAGGCAGAAGCAAAAGCGAAAGGGAAAGGGGGGCCGCCGCAACAGGCGCAGGGGGGGGGCCAAAGGGGCACGAACCGCAGCCGCAGACGCAGAGGCAAGACAAGAAGCCAAACGGGGCACAGGGGGGGAGCGGAACGACCCGCGGGGAGGACAAGCACGAGCCAGAGGGCCGCGGCCAGGACAGCGAGAACAAAGCAAGGCGCGAGCACGGGGAGGCCGCACGGCCGCACGGACCGGGCCGGACCGGGGGCGCGGGAAGCAGCGCGGGGAAGAGGGCGGGCAGCACGCCGGGGAGGGGGGAGAACGAGGGGGGGCCAGCGGGAGGCACCAGGGGGGCGGGACAGCGGCAGCGCGGGGAGGGGGCGGCAGAGGCGCGGGCAGCAGACAAGGCAGCAGCAAGGGGGGCAGAGCGGGGGGACGCAGGCCCCACCGGAGGGCGGGGGGCAAGCCAGGGAAGAAACGAGCAAGAGGGCGGGCCGCGGCGGCAGGGAGGGCCCCGGGCGCAAGCAAAAGAGGAGGGGCCGGGGAGAGGCAGCAACCGACAGGGAGCCCGGAACGGGGCCCGGCAAGGGGCGGGCAAGAGCAGAGAAAAAAGAGGGAGGGCGAAAGGGGAGGCGCAGAGCGGCCCGGACGGGAACCCAAGAGGCAGAGGGAAGAAAAGCAGCAACGCGCGCCCGAGGGCGGGGGCGCCACCAAGAGACGGCAGACCCCGGAAAAGAGGGAGCAACGAGCCGAAGGGGGGAAACAGCAGAAGAGGGCGGGAAAGCAAAAAGGGGGGCAACAGCAGGCG